CGGGGCTGGGACCGAGGGGCCCCTCGCCCCGGCCCCCCTTCATTTTCTCACCCTCCGCCTCTTCCTCCTCCTCCTCCTCCATCGATTCCTCGCAAGCTCTCGGTCCTCCGCTGCCTCCCCCACCCTGGGTTTTTTCCTCTGGAGGGAGATGCCACTGGCTGATACGGGTGAGGGGAGGGAGAGGAAGAGCAGAGAATGGCCGTTGCGGATGCTAGCAGACATTTCTTGGGCGGCTGTCCAGTGGAAAGCTCGTTGGGGGGCGGCGGCGACCCTCCCAGGGTGCCGTTCCGGGGACACCTGTGCTTCTGGAGTCTGTAGAGACCCTGGGTCCGGCCCGCGACTGTGGAGTGTTCTGACTTATTCGGGACTACCGTGGGCTTTAAAAGCCTGGTAGGGAAGGGTGCTTAATAGCATCCTCCAAAGTTAAGTCCCTTCCTCCGGTCAGACGAGCGCTGTGTCACTTTCTTCTTGAAATTGAAATGTGGAGTCACTGTCTGGTTGAGGCTCCAGAAGGAGCAAAGTCCGCACTAATCTCACTCTGCTCACAGTTTTTATAGCTCTTCGCGGCTCACCGAGTACTCAATAAAATCCTGCCACGTGATTTTTTTAATTGTCCAGTGTGTTTTAGCTTTTCAAGTGCTTGTCTCATCTCTCAACTCTATTTGTAATTTCCTTGAGGGCTGAGACCATTACAAAAAATTGAATCGTCTCAAATAACGTAATACGCAATTTCTTTATTCGCTGTTGCTAAGTGGCCACTGTAAGCTCAAATGTATGCTAGGAATACAAATGTGAAAGCCAGAACTGAACAGGACTATTTGGCCCTTGATAGTCATCATTGGACCTTTTTTGTAAAAATACTTAAAAAGTGGAATTGTGTCCTTAATAATTGACAGAATAAATTATGTCTTAATATTCTTCGTTTACTAAAGAAGAATAGTAAACTATCTTTAGATGTTAAAAATTTTTCAGTCATTGCCAACATTCACTTTATGGAAAGATATTTTGTTGGAAGACGTTTATGGACTGAGCAGGAAATGGGACTTGAATTCCCTTGACTGCACATTAGCTCAATATGTTGTAAATATTTTAATGAAATTTCTTAACATGATCTAAATTCTTGCTATTATGTATAGTACACAACATTCTATATGTGAATTGTGACTAAGTACTTTTACACTGGTAGGTTATCACATTAGGCACTTTGCAGTGGTGGAAATTTGTAACCTATCAGGCTCTTAAAGTTGCTCCTTTGGGGCCAAATTTGTGGCAAGCCAAGACTGGATCTTTTCCTGGTGGGTTTCACTTCAATGTATTGCTATTCTTAACTGAAATTTCTATGGATGTTTTTCTGTCAGAAAAATTGATAAGGATTATTTAATGTATGTGGAGGGTGATGTTGCAGTTACACAGTTTTATACTGTTTTATGATTGAAAAGAGGAAATTTGAGTCTACAAGTTGTATAGACTCTTATGTAACACTTGTGCAACTTTAAACTTACTGAGGTAATTCTAGCTAATAGATTTATTTTTTATTTATTAGTTTATTATAAAAGTAATATTTGAGCCCTGCGTAGTGGTACATAACTATATTTTCAGCATTTGGGAGACTGAGGCAGGAAGATCATAAGTTCTAGGCTAGCTTTGGCTACATATGAGATGTCTCAAAATTAAACAAAATAAAACAAAACAGGGGCTGGCAAGGTGGCTTAGTGGTAGAGTGCTTGCCTCTCATGCACGAGGCCCTGAGTTCAATTCCTCAGCACCACATAAGCAGAAAAAGCTGGAAGTGGCACTGTGGCTCAAGTGGTAGAGTGCTAGCCTTGAGCTGAAGAGGGACAGCACCCAGGCCCAGAGTGCAGGCCCCACGACTGACAAAAACAAAAAAGAAAGAAAGAAATGTACTCATTACCTTGCTCATGTAATTGTAACCCCACTGTATAGTATTTTTACAATTTAAAAATATGTAATAAAAATTTTTTAAAAAAACAAAGTTACTCATGTAAACAGTGACACACAATTTGAAAAAAAAATCTCCTTTTTCCTTCATTTTTTCCATATGTTCTTCCTAAGTGCCCCCACCCCAAGCAGGGCTTTGTGCCATTTGTCCCCCCCCACAACTTTCATAGAAATAAAGCTGTGGTGAAACTTAGGAAGAATATGGTAGCAGGAGTATTTGATTTAGTCTTTTAGAGCAGGCTTATCTAAACCAGATATTTTGTGGAAGGTTAACATTCTTTTGTTTATTTATATATAGTTTCGTGGAGGGGGGGCACGTGCGCGCGCCAGTTTGGGGGCTTGAACTCAGGGTTGAGATGTTGTTTCTGGGCTGCTTTTTGCTTACGGTTAGCGCCTCTACCATTTGAACTACAGCTCCACTTCTGGCTTTTTGGTAGTTTATTGGAGATAAGAATCTCACGGAGACAGTGCAGGTGGCTCACACCTGTAATTCTAGCTACTCAGGAGGCTGAGATCTGAGGATTGTGGTTTCCAGCCTGGGCAGGAAAGGCTGTGAGACTTTTATCTCCAATTAACCACCAGAAGAACAGAAGTGGCACTGTGGCTCAAGTAGTAGAGCACTAGCCTTGAGTGAAAAACTTGGACAGCGCCCATGCCCAGAGTTCAAGCCCCATGACCAACCAAAAAAAAAAAAAAAAAAGCATGGACTTTCCCCACACAATCCTCAGATCTTAGACTCTTGAATAGCAAGGATTATAGGCATGATCCACTGGTGCCAGGCAACCAAATGATATTTGAGTTCCATTTTTTCTTTTTCAGACAAGGCTTCATTATGTTGGCCATGTACTCTTGGATCAAACAGCTTATTTTGGGTTCATTTTGGGAGTTTTAGACCATAATGGGTTGGCCCCATAATAAGGGAGCACTTATAAGCAGAAGTGAATGACAGGACATAACACCTCACCTATGGCCATGAAGGAAAAGAGAGGCGATCAGGGGCTCAAAAATCCCATTCCAGGGCATGAACCCTGTGGCCTAAAGACTTCTTGCCCTGTCACGCATCGCCCAGCTTCCCAGTCTTTCCTTTGAAATTTCAGAGGAAGCTATCGTGATCCCATAACCTGCATTGTGTATGTCTTTAAAACCTCCATCAGATGGGTGTATGTCAAGGTTCTGCCACAAGCAGGGCTGTCTATACCTGTGCCCACTGGAACCACAGTAGTGGGAACCTCTGAGAGCCTTAATAACTACATATAGCATAACTGCTGAAGTAGTTATGGGCCAGAGTGGTGTCTGAACCTCTTCTGTGGACTCTGACCTCGAAAGTCTTATAAAGTCTTCCATTTCTACATGTCAGCCTGCGACATGTCAACTGATTCCTAAGATGCCTACCAGGCACCCTGTTGTCTGGTACAAAGCACTTGGCTTCTTTTCAGTGGTATTAGTCTCCTCAGCAACTGCAGAGCTCCTTGGCTATACCATCTATGTATGTTTCTTTGTTGGCCAAACTACAACTTTTTCAAATATTTCTGCTCTGTTCCTTTTTTGCTCCCACTTAATATAAATTAGACTTGTTATAAATTAGACTGAAAGCAGCCAGTAAAGTTTATACCATAACCTGAATGCTTTTTTTCTTAGGAAATCTCACCCACTTGATAAATTTGTCTATTATGTTTAAGCACAGGCTCCCGCAGCCTCCAAGACAGATGAAAAATTCTTTGCCACAGGTTCACAAGTCACAAGTGGCCTTTGGTCTAGTTTTCAATATAATTTCCTTTTTTTTTTTT